AAAAAAAAAAAAACAAAGAATTCATATATCAGAGAAGTAAAAATCACTTCATTACTATAGGACCTATACACGAACGAAATATGCCGCTAAGAACCCGTTGAACTTCCATCGAACTATGTTCGCTTCGAACAAGATCCGTTAACAAAGGAAATAACTGCGAAATGTACTTACCGAAAGCATCACTTTCTAAACTGCCCAAAATTCTCATGACTGATAGAACTAAAGGCGTACGGGCCGAAAGCTCCTCTTTCTTAGCTGAACCTAAAGGAAGAAGAAAGTGAACTAACGGCTTATTCATAGCTTTTTTCTGTGAGGCTTGTCCAAATCCACTGCATTCAAGGTATCTCTCGAGGACTTGCTTGCATATAGAGATAAGTTGTACTTCAATGTTTTTTTCCTCGGATAGAGATGGACTGTTTGTGAGTAAATCGTATAAGAAATTTAAGTAGTTCGTGTAGGACTCGTTTTCAAAGTGAACGATTGGTGGATCCGAGATTTCTAAAATAGCACATGCTTTTTCTAGCTTGAGAATTGATATCGTTTGGGAGTTCAATTCGTGGGCATGAGAAGAAATGGATGAATAAATCTCGAGAAGGATAGAGATAATGCTCGAGGAAAAGTATTGCCAGTGGCTCTTGTAAAGATCGGTTACTACCTGTGAGCATATAATCGAGACAAATTATGTCGAAACGTGCAGAAATGGATGCAGGTAAATAATATACTATACAAATATAGAGTGTATCAAACATGGATGGAAAATAAGAACAAAAACATTGCTAAAGTTTAGTTAAACAAAGGAAAATTTACACATCACTATAACTCAAATTTAACTCAAATTTAACTCAACTTCATTATCCTCAATATTATATCAATATAGCAATTAAATAATATCAATCAATCATCCTTACACTTCACATTAACTTTAATTCACTATTCATCCACTCACATAATTTACCTAATCATCACTTTCAATCACCTCCTACTTTCCGTCAAATCAACATTAATCATTTTATTTTAAATACTATTTTAATATAAAAAAGGGTAAATGGCAAGGTCATATATATTAAATCCACCAAGAATTTGAGAAAGAGAGAGAGAGAGAGAGAGAGAGAGAGAGAGAGAGAGAGAGAGAGAGACCTGTATTACGAGCAGCTGTAGTGCTATATGAGTTTTCATCCTCGAGACAATGAACGCCACACTCTGCAGCTTCTCATCCTCCAAACCATCACCAATTGCACTCCCATGGTCATAAGAAGATTCGGTTTCATAATTGAGTGGGTTATCATCATCATCGGGCACCTCAATGTTGTCCAAGGTTCTCAAAAGCTTCATAAAAGCAGACAAATTCGGCCCAGCAGTCTCTTCCAAAGAAAGAAATATATCTCGCCATTCCTCTTCCGAAAGTTTGCCTCTCAACTCACCACTCAAATGCATCAAAGCAGACACACCAGCAGTTGATGAACTTTGATTACTGCTTCGTATATATCTTATTATTATAGATATTGCTTCATGAAATTGGGGCCTCACCAAATCAAAAAGATGGACAAATAGATCTGTTAAGCATTCTACTGCCACTACACAAGTTTCAGAGTCCCAAATGCTACTATTGCCTGTATCTATCTCTTTACCGTCAAAGATGAAGGTAAATATAGGAAAGATGGAAGTTTTGAATACAGTGGCCCAGAATGGCTGAGAGAAAAGGTGACCGTGGTCCTTCAAGATATTGAAGAGGACTTCAAGGGAACTCTTTCTGATGGCTGCTCGAGGATCTGAAGTTAATTTTGATAACCCTGAAAAGATTGAGTCGATAATATTGTTTAGAAGTCGAACTGCATGGGTTAGTATTAAATTTTTGGTTCTCCACAAAGAGCAAAGATGCCAACAAGAAAAGCCTATGATGGAAAATTTTAAATCTCGCAGAATGTAAGAGGGTGTTTGTTTATCGATTTTTTTCAATTCATACTTAAAATCTAACTCAACTTTAACTCAATCTCACTATCCTCAATATTATCAATATAATTAAATAATATCAACCAATCATTTTTACACATCACATCAACTTTAATTCACTATTCATCCACTCACATAACTTTAACTAACCATCACTTCACATCATGTCTCCTATTTTTACATCAAATCAATTTTAATTATTTTATTTTAACTATTATTTTAATATAAACTCAAAATCCCACTAACAACTAACCATACCACCATTTTCAAAATTAACCCTAGTTAACACAAAAAAAACTTGTTTGAAAAGATATATTTGTATCCAAGCAAGACCTAACATAAAAAAGAAGCAAAGATACACCAACATACTATTTTGGGGGTCCCACAAAGACAACCTTGTTTCTTTGTATAGTATAGCTATAACATTAAAGTTCCTCTGTCCTTTATCCAATTCGCATGATTATCAAACAACTAATTGTTAACTTAAAAGGAAAAGGAGGTATAACAGGGAAAGTATATTCCTAAATTTTTCTTTACCAACAACTAATTGTTAACTAAATGTTTGATGTTTTAGTAGACCCTGGGGAAAAAAGCAAACAAGTCTATCATTGTGGGACTTGTGGAAGTACATATAGTTCCTAGGTCCATTTCCACACGGACCATATCGTTCATCAATCAATCAATCAATCAACAGTCGTTAAAATCCCATCGTGCTCGATCAAAGCACATATCCACATTCAAATTTAAATATTTTAAATCATTTTTTTTTTTATATGGACCATATCATTCATACTAACTAAAAATCTTTACCTGTAAGCAAAGGAATCCAAAAATGCATATGCCCATCCCTATCAATGCCTGTTTCGTCATCCAAAGCATTGTTATTGGGTAATGGAGAGCTCGAATCATTTCCCTCGCTTTTCTCGTTGCAAGAAAGTCCACCATCTGCTAGTTTGACGGCACAATAACGCAGAAAAGCAATAGCATTGAGGCTAACATCACTATTAAATCTACTATTTGTGAAGGTAATGAGGCACTTAACACAGTCTGTGAAAGTCAATGCCTCTGTCTCAGTTATGTAGGGAAAATATTCGCGCACTATCTTTTCGATTGTTTCAAAAGCCAACAAAACTATGCTCTTCCGTTCGTCAGCCGCAGCTGCAGTGAAAACCTACAAAAGCAGAACATAATATGTGAAAGGCAGATATCTTATGACAGTGTACTAATAATGAAAGTAATTTTCCGAACCGAGAGAATAATAACAATCTAGAAGAGATTGAACTCCTATGTGAACTAAAGATGAACATCAAGTACTAGGGGTGTGATTGGTTATAAAACTTAACCAAAAAAAAAAACAATCAAAACTCAAATTTAACTCAACTTTAACCCAATCCCACTATCTTCAATCTTACCAATATAATTAAATAATATCAACCAATCATTCTTACACATCATATCAACTTTAATTCACCATTCATCCACTCACATAATTTTAACTAACCTTCACTTCCAATCATTTTTCTCCTACTTTTACATCAAATCAACTTTAATTATTTTACGTTATATATTATTTCAATTTAAACCTAAATTCCCACTAACAACTAACAAAATTCAAAATTAACTACGATTAACAAAAAAACCAATAAAATCCATATCCAATCACACACTAACTTGCCTTCTGATACGAAAAATTCACAGCAGAAATCTTATTACTTTGAGAATCTCAGGCAAGCTTTCTAGACATGTAAAGAAGAAAATTACCATGAAGACACTTTTCCATCCAGATTTTATGTTATTGACCCTGCTGAGGACCATTTGTGAGATACATCGAACTATTAACTCTCTGATCTCTGCAGAATTGCTTTTCTGCATCACAATGGTGAAAGGCCTCAAAAATTCATTCTGGAAATTATAGTTAACCAGTTCTTCTCGCTCGAGGAATTTCATAGCAAGCTGCCGCAATGAATCCATAACAAAGATTGCAACCGAAAGATTCTCCGACAAACCAACTGACACAAAGAATTCAGAAAGAACATTCCATATACGAGACCACACTAATCTTATGCGATTCATGTTATAGTGCCTGCAAAAAACAGAAATGTGGAGTGGTTTTTTACCTTCCACCAAAAAAATCCCGAGAGGGCATAAAGAAGAAAATTGGGATTCACTTCAAGTTTGGGAAAAAGGATCTTACGCAACTTCCACGATTTTTGTCAGGCTAAACACTCGTGGATCAGTCGGGGACTGCAGTTCTGCCATGGAAACTTTGCAGAGTGATTTTACAAAAGCCACTATTGCCTCACTGTTCAACCGCTGGCTATGGGCAAAAATGTGGTTTAATTCAAAGTTCCCGATTTGATCGAGCAAATACAAATTCGAAATGAAATTATTGATCTGCTCCGGAGTAACAAGACCAGGAGAGTTGACTCCAACAGAGGTGCTATCATACGAGCCCCCTCGAACAACTGCCATAACAGCTGGATTTTGAAGTGTTCCTTTTTTCTTCAGAGACGGGTAACTCTCGAGCTTTAATGTCTTCTCGTCGGATTCAGAATTAGAAGTATTAAGAAACGACGCATCAGAAGGTGCTCCCTCCCCCAAGAGCTGCAGATGCTCGAATCGGGATAAGCATGTCAAAATGTGTTCCCATGCTTCTTGAAGGTAATTACCATCTTCAATTGCGATTGATATCATAGCCTGCCAAAAACAAAAGAATTTTCTCAATCACTCCAATATTCAGGGTGTGCTTGAATATAAACTTCACCAAAAAAAATAACAATCAAAACTCAAATTTAACTCAACTTTAACCCAACCTCACTATCCTCAAAATTATCAATATAACTAAATAATATCAACCAACCATTCTCACACATCACATCAACTTTAATTCACTATTCATCCACTCACATAATTTTAACTAACCATCAGTTCCAAATCATTTTTCTCCTACTTTTACGTCAAATCAACTTTAATTATTTTATTTTAAATATTATTTAATTTAAACTTGAATTCCCGCTAACAACTAGCCAGCCACATTTTTCAAAAGTAACTATGTTTAAAAAAAACAATCATGAAACAATCAAATCCATATCCAATCACACCCTAAGGAAATTACATTCACTTCCAAAATAGATTGACAAACAACCAAGACAAAAAGAGTGAAACTGACAAGTACCTTGACAGCATCTACATTTTTTTGCTTCATATCAGCTGCACAGTGGAGGTTAGTAAACTTAGCCACAGTGGTAACAAAGGCATCTCTCTGAGTCTGCATACCCATCATGGCAGTAACATGCACAGCATGCCGAAATCCCTGCAAACATTGAGAAGTAGCTTCCTTGTCATCACTTTGGTCCAGAGTTACACTAAAGGCAGCAAGCATGGGGCCCCAGCAGACTTCAACCATGAACCTCAGTATTGAAGGATCTGCCACAGCATAGTAGAAAACCCTGCGAAAGGAGAAAAATAAATATATATATTTGTATATATATATGTATATGTATATACAAGGATTCAAAAGAAAATGCAAGAATCGATCAAAATTACAGAAAACCCCAAACAGATTATCATTACTACACAGAAAAGTCGATACTTAAAAAGGTAGATCACATGGCTCTAACAGCATGATGCACCAAACAACAGATTATACACATAAATATCCATGTAAGAATTTTTGTTCCAGGTAAAAGCAGATGGTTTAAGGAAAAGATGTTAAATATAATGGGTATGTGTTCTGTAATGGAAATTGATCATACTCTGATTTTGCAGATTTTGCCTTAAACTGCTCTTGGATATGCCTTAACAGATATCCATTTGCACCCAAAGGTTTTTCTTCTGCAGGCTTCCAGACCAGGTTGAGTATGCCATCCAAGCCCAGCAGCTTATTCAAGCTATTTCCATGTTTGCTTTGGGGAGTAAGAGGCTCAGCATTCATTTTAATCTCATTTTTTACAACTTGATCATACAGTGCGCCCAAATAATCTTCAGGTAGATCCTTGCCATCATCAATCCCACGGTTATTCCGGATGAAATCAGCCTTCGTCATCTGGACAGTCAAACCCAAACTGAGTGCAAGCCAAACAATATTCCTTGATAAAATCAAATCAAATCAAATCAATGATTATGTGATCTAGTATAAGAGCCTAAACAGTTCGAATTAATTCCATCCGGTCACAACTACTTTTCTGCCGCGGTAGAAATAAAAAATGTCTCTCTGTGTTATTGGCTTTTGGTTCCACTGCCACTCATGATTTGAATAAGTGAACAAAGTAAGATGAAATATGTTCCAACTCTTTCTATTAGCAAGTTAGAAACACATCTTCAAATTGCAGACCGCACGTTGGAAAAGAGTAGAAACAAAGAGACTTCATATAAAATCCTCAAATCAAAATCTTCATTGAGGACGTTATTCTGTAAATAGTAAAACAAATTAATCACCAATGGTTGCATATCGTTTTCCCTTTCGGACGAAACCAAAATAGGAAAAAAGAAAAGAAAAAAAATGTTGTAAATCTGATGTAAAGGAAAAATGAAAGGACAAAAGAGAACTCGTTTTAGCTAGAGAAAAGGATCTGAAATGCACCTTATCCTTCACCATACTATTATGGGCATCAGTGTTGAGCATTATGACTGAGTAAGCAAGAACATAAGCCGTGTCGGCACTGGTGAATGCACTCGGATTGCATTTACAATAGCGTTCAGCAAATTTTTCCATGATGCGGTCAATCTTTTGCGCTTCTCCTGGTAACCTGAAACCTCTCAGAAAGAATCTAATTGCCTCAGCAAAGCCCATACTCTCAAAGTTGAAGGAATCTACATATGCATGCATGACTTTCATAGGAAATTCCTCTCTTTCACCGAAATAATCGCCAATCATACTTTCATTCAGCCCCGAAGCACTTTTGAGAAAAGAAGCTACTTCTTCTGGGGAACTGCCCACTTTTTTGGCACTTATTAAGAACTCAATTCCCTTGGACGGTTTCCTATTGAACAGTGCAACACCTTTCTGCATTTATTACATTGATATAATCACTACAGTGATATATTGGAAGTTATTATCCAAATGATAGGCTTGAACATTACAGTAATATGTCCTTAATGTACATATTACACGTATTACACAATGATATATTCTTGTGGTACAGTGGCAATCAGCAATAATTCAGGGCTTGATTAGATACAAAAATTTCACTCCAAATTTCATCCATTTCAAAATTTAACTCAACTTTAACTCAACCCCACTATCTTCAACATTATCAATATAATTAAATAATACGACCCAATCATTCTTACGCACCACATCTACTATTCTACTTTCATTCACTATTCATCCACTCATATAATTTTAATTAACCATCACTTTGTATCATCTCTCTCCTACTTTTACATCAAATCAACTTTAATTATTTTATTTTACATATTCTTTTAATATAAACTCAAAATTCCACTAACAACCAACATACCACATTTTTCCAAATTAACCCTAGTTAACCAAAAAATCCACCTTGAGTGAAAATTTTTGTATCCAATCAGCACGTGTCAATAAAATCTTGAGACCATTTGTGTTTAAGTGTAAATCATAACCAAACCTGAATTTCTAATTTATAAGCTCTACGCTGTTCCAAGGTTGGAGAATCAGAATGTTCAGAATTTGCTTCTGGGTTCAGTTCATGATCAGAACTATTTGCATCATCAACAAGGTAAGTGTGATTCTCGGTCAAGTTTTCACTCTCAGAAACTTTTGGAGGATTAGGTTCTGCAACTTTGAACTGCTGGTCCATCCATGAACCCATTGACTTGATAATTCTAACCAGACATTTTACAGATTCATGACGAAATGTCGTATCTTGGGCAGGAGACAATGAGGTCACAGAACCAGGTGGTGGACCTAAAGCAGTTTTCAGAAGGCCATTCACAGTCCTGCAAATAACTGACAAAATTAATGTATCTCGCATTTCATGGAATAAAGCAAGAAAGGAATTCACACCAAAAGGAACTAACAGTAAGAAATTTAATTAAAATAGTGAAACCAAGCAAAAAAAAAAAAATGCGGGAACAGAAATAACTTGACAGTGTTACTGGGGACAGTTGTATTTGAAGAAATGTACGATCAGGATAGTAGTTTCACCTCCAAATAATATGAATAATTTTCAAATTTATGAGTAGAACGGGGACTTAATTTACCAACAAACGGTGACGCAGCAGGTATTCTCAAATAAGTGCACATCAAACCTCACATACAACGTCAAAGTTAATAATTTGTGCACACGGAATATTTGTCTCCTCTAAAATGACTCGGGGCAAAAGAAAAACAAGCAACTGATCATCTCACGTTGACCTTAAATGGTTACTAAACCACATCGTTAATAATGCCAACCAAGTTATGAAAACATTCCACGATGAAGAAAACTAGAACCACTAAACATAATCATAGTCAGAGACTTATAGTTCATTATTTGGTAAAAACTGCACACAATAACATGAACAAGTAACAAAGTGGCTACGAAATGGAAGCTCAAAACGAGATAGCATAAGAACAAAGGAAACAGCACAGTTTCAGTTCCCCATAAAGAAAAGAAAAAACAAGTTTCATCATAATATATTGGGTCATTAGGATTAAAGATTCTGAATATCATAATGCACATGCAAGTCTGATATCTCCAGATTATCTATCATCATCAACTGCACTACAGGTAGCTACATGCAGCTAAAACTAAACAAGTAAATCCCTGAAGAAATTTTGAAGGGCAGAAAATATATTGTCATTTTTCGCGAGGAGAAAGTGTGTCCACTTCACAGAAAGCATAAATTTTCATCTACATTGCCAGACCTAGAAGACAGTTCCTATTTCAAAAACATCATAGATAATTTAGAGTAGTCAGAGTAATTTCCTTATACAAAGTCCCACACCTGGATCTGGCATTCTGAGCTAACAAATGCTCAATATATAAATTAAAACGAAAATCGAAGGCCATGAATTAATCAAATAATATTTTCTCCCTCACACTTATCCTCCACATGATTAAAGATAACAAAAATGCTTTGTGTAAAGTAATGTTTTTCAAACCTCCCAAATGCCAACTTCCACGGTTCTTTCAGAGTTATTCGCTTCTAACGTTAGAATATATAAGATTGCCCAAAAAAGGATGGTATATAAACTTCTTATCAAAATTCAATGATGTTTGCTCAGTTGTTAAAGCATAGGACAAGTAGAGGTGCATTATCGATGTATGTCAAATAATTTTTATTATTTCAAGCTTTGTATTAAATCACAGGAATATTTATACAGAACACAGCAAATAGAATAATTGCAAAACAGCAACTAATAGAAACATGGTTTGAAAGTAGTACTAAGCAGGTCTGGAAGTATACTTAACAAATACTTTCATAAAGAACAAAGTTAACAGGGAAAGGTAACAAGAATAACTAGACCTAGTTGTTTGTACCTTTCAAATATGTTTGGAGCCTCCACATCACAGTCATAGTTGACAAAAGTATCAATAGTAATCTGTGAGTCCTGAGCAACCTTCTCCAGTAAATTCAATACAGTCATCTTCTGTAAGAAACTTGGTTGAAGAACATTCTCCAGTACACGAAGAATCAGCATTGGAAAAAAAATCCCAATCTCTGATTTCAACCCGGACCTAAACTTCGATAGCAAGTGCCAAAATATTGAACAAAGAAGCTGAAAAACAGTCATAACAGATAGAGCACTGTTCTTCAACAGCGACAGGCATAGATATTGCTTGACCGCATTTAGAAACCTGCAAAGAAAAGACGTATCAGTTATTCAGCACAAACTAAAGAAACATTATTACATCCGATATGTATGATATATCAGTCATCTCATACTCTCAACCCTGGAAAGCCCTAAAAACCACATAGATGTTTAGATCCATATATCTGCTTCTTCCTCGTAGTTACACCATAAGTATAGCTTACGTTATACTATGTCAGGACTAAGTAATTATGGAATAATGCAGAAAAGTTGTCATTACCGAAACTATGATCCCTCAATATCCTCTGTACAGGAGCACTAATTTCACACTAATCTAAACTAATGAAACAATATCAAGTTCTCCCTGCAGTGCTTACTCCCTGGTGATTCTTGTCTCTGCTTGAAAAATGGTAATTGAAGACATCATACTCAATTGACTTCACATGACATGCAAACTACTGAATTCAACAGGCTACACAATAAACTTTTACGAGTTAACACTCACCTCTCGTTAGAGCGCCAGATCGGACCTGCATTGCCCATAATGACATTCAAAAGCTCCAAGGACAGAGTTTTCCCTCTCAACAGAATCTGATCGTCGGGATTCTCCTGAGAGGAAAACTTCATGGACAACTTACATAAATTCTTGAAGAGCATAAACCCATCCTCCCTGATCTTACTGTATTCACTCAAATCAGCACCTTCATCCACAGGCTTCCCATTCTCTTCGTCAGTTTTTTTGGCTTTAGGGCTCGAATCAGAACCATTCTGCAGATGCAAGGGCAACTTCACATACGGAAGGCTATCCTTAGCCTCCACAATCTCACTGACGAAATTCTGAGCAAACTGTATGGAGCTTCCTTCGTTGAGATTCCTATCGGCAAACTCCATCAATTCGAACACAGAAACATTCTTAAAGTCCACAAGCATGGAATTCTCCTCGACCCTGGTGAAAATAATAATCATCATCTGCGCAAGAACTGACTTGGCACAGATCTGATTGGTCCCACTTCGCCCGCCCAGGTAGATATTGTAACAGGACCTCACCACATAGACGAGGCAGTCTCCGCGTATGTAGATGCAGGGTGACCGGACGGCGGACAGAAGGACCTTGAGAACGGCCAGTTCCACCGCCTCGTCCCCGACGGCCGCGCACTTGCAGACTGAGTCAATGAGGCGGAAGATGACGGAGGAAGCGCTGTCCTTGATCTCGCAGCCGCGGACGAGGCCGAATGAGAAAAGCCGGAAGGCGCAGTCAAGCGCGGGCTCGATGACCTTAACGGAGCCGGAGTCGAGGGCCATGACGAGGGGCTGGAGCAGGAACTCGGCGTCGGAGGGGGTGAGGCCGTAGAGCGGAGCGCAGGATGAGGGATCGGAGGAGTCATCGGCGAGGGAGTCGAGCTTGTCGAGCACTGATTTGCAGGCGGACACGAGTCCGGAGTGCTTCCGCCAGGCGGCGTTCTTGATGATCTTGTCGAGTGATGGGCCGAGCACCCAGCCGCAGCGGGATGCCCCGCCTAGGGTTTGGGACGACGACGACGACGACATTATTATAATTCAGAGCGCGTGAGGGCCCCACCTCGCACACCTTCCGCCCCGGATACTCGGTGGTTCACCGCCGGAGCTCGCTGGGCGGCCGGAATAGATCAGGCATAACAATCGACCAAACGACGAATGAGCTACGGAAGCCTCGAAAGTGGGGAATTGGGTCGGAGAACATTCAACGTCGGCTTGTCGGTATATGTGAGAAGACGGTGCCGGTGGACGCCGGTGATCGGGGAGCGATTGACGTTTTATAAATTTCAATGTAAATGGGATCAAACGTCTCTCTCTCTCCTCTTCTGATTTTTTTCCTTCTTTTTTGCAATTTGTATTGGTGTAAATTTTAATAATTTTTCCAAAAAAAGTATAGTATAATCTGGATAATTATTAAATTTAAATTTGTCAAATGTGGTTTATTGAATATTACATTTTATATTTGGAACCAAGCTTCATATAACTTTGAAATGCCACTAATACAATCCTAGTGATTATATGAATGTTAGTTTAAAAAAAAAATGTAAGAAATAGTTATAATATTAAATTTTTAAATAATTGCTTATGTTATAATAAAATGTTTAAATAATTGCTTAAATAGTTGCAATGTAGATTATATTTCAACTGAAGTTTTTCACTTGTACAATTTGTCGTCTTATGTTATAAAAGTTTTTCTAATTCCTATGTAATAAATTTATAGATATTTTTTCATTTTTTTTTTAACTTATATATAATTCTATTAATTTTAATTAGTAATAAATGGCTTAGTTTTATAATAAAAAAATGTTTGTTTACTTTATGTTATCTGCAATATGATATCAAATCGAAGTTCGTCAAAAGATAAGTAATGTAGTATATTATATGTGAAAAAAACTGAAAGCAAATACAATAGTTATGATTTTTTGAACTATATTAATAATTTAAGTTAGTCAAGTGTTGTAAATTTAAAAGTCGATATAATTCAAATCTAACGAATTGTTCCAAAACACAAAATATTGACATATAAGATTACGAAGCACCATAATTTTATATTTGTGTGGACTCTTCACTATTCCAAATGACCACAAATCGATATATAGATTACAAAGCACCATAATTCGACATATGTGATTAAAAAACACCATATATTATCGATACATTATGCATTAGGGAGGATTGTGTTTAAATTTTAAAGCAATTAACAAAATATCCAAATATATGAGATGGTCTAAACCGTTCGGCTGAAACTAACAACATATTTAGTTGTACTAGACAATTTAACTGTTTTGACAAATCGGTCTGATATTTATAAAAAATGTACAATTGAGTTATTAAATGTCATATTTTTATTGCATGCTTATTCAAATGACATTTTTTTTTTTTTTTGTGTGTTGTTTTTTAAAATATGACTATTTTAGTAAAAATATAAGAATTTATAAAAATATTATATCGGCATAATGATTTAGTCAACTTTAACACAAGAAAACCCATTGAGTGATTTACAGCTTCTTCTTAGTCCAGTAAAATTTCATGGATTTTCAACGACATTATCACATTTCAGATACAATTTCATTGAGAATCCAAAAAGGCTTGTGTGAGATTTTCTACGAGACTTTTTTTTTTTATTATATTGATAAAGACTTTTTGATGACTTAGTGCATCTTTTCCTAACATCAACTATTCCTCTCGTGATCTCGTTTTCATTCTCATTTTTTTCAAAATTTTTGTCATATGTTTTGGGAAAATGTTACAGTCCACTTACAAAACTATTCTGTCGGGATTTGTAACTGTTGGATTAATTAACTCTAACAGTTATATGGTGATCTAACAATTGCAAAATTCGACGGAATGATACCGTAACGTAACAGACTTTAGCATTTCCATTATGTTTTTCTTCCGCCATGGTTTGGTCAAACATAAATGAGATTCATTTACAAAACTTCTTATTTTTGTTTCTTAATTAATATTCCCTCCTATTTTTTTAAATGTCATTATAGCTTTATCAACTATTTGCTAAATAAATGTCGTTTTGGATCTTTTGTACATATTTTTCCATTATTACCCACATTTAGCCAATAAATACATTACGCCTTTTCATATTCACTCTTCATTTTTTCTCAAAACATTCATCTCTCTCTTCATTAAATAAGGTTATTATTGACAAAAAAAATATTCTTAATTAGTGTGCAACTTCTCAAAACGACATATATTAAAAATAGGAGGTAGTATTTATTTAGGGAAATGCTACGGTCCCATTACGGAACCATTCATCGCGATTCGTAATCGTTAGATCAACTATCCCCGAGGATTACATGATGATATAATGATTACAAATCTCGACGAAATGATTTTGTAACGGGACCGTAGTATTTCCTATTTATCTAATAAAAGATTAGATAAATAAATAAATTACAAAATATATAAAATATATATTTGTGAAGTCGGAACAGGCCCATATTTGTTCTCCGCCACAGCCCAGTACCAATTTATACCGGATGACGAATAGAGTTGGGCAAGGCCCATACATGTCTTCCGCCCCAAGTCAGTTCCAAATTTAACTGAGTTTTTGGCAACGTACATAATAATAGAAGAACTAAACAAAGTAGCAAAACAAACTAAGTAACGAACAATAGAATTCCACTGAAACAGAGCGGTTTCTGGAAGTTCACCTGGATTTGATCACCATAAACATTACTCTGTGCACTGATGATGCAATTTCTGGTATGCATTTTTCCATTAATTGCTTCATTTTCTAAATTCCATCACCTTTGCGACATAAGAGCTACAAAATGCAGGTTGCCTGCAAAGTGTTTGTTGAATTTACTGAGAGAAATCTCGTGCAAGTTGTCCTGTTTTAAAAGCACTGTTTTCTTGTTTATGTACGCAGAGGAAGTTTTCATACAAGACATCTCTCGTTCGTGCGGTGGCCCTGGCGACTGCTGGCTCAGGAATATTTTGCTACACGGCGGCGCCTTCGGATTACGGTGAGTAGTTAACTCATTGAGTCCAAATATAATTCATTTTATTGTTCATGATCACTTTTGAGTTAATGGGTTGTGCTCGAAATTTTGTTTTATATGTTTTTATTTGTGTGTTTGCCATGTAGATACATCGATATCGGTTTCAATCCCTTCGATCTGTAGGACTTCCTTAACGTGGCCCCGTGGAACAAATGAAGAGAATAACCATCATTTTGCATTTACTCGTCCCAACCCTTCACAATATGGTATAGCAGTTTTTATTAGTGTTTTTGTGTTTTGCTTCATCCTCCCATGTTTTTCTGTTCTGTGAGTATTATGTGTGTAAATTCAATTGTAGGTGTTATCCCGCTATTTTTCTCAAAGCCAGATGCTATACCAGATGCTGGCATAAGTAAAGGAGCTCCAATAGATGCTGAAGATAGCCCGAAACCTTCATGCAACTGCCTTGGCCGCGATACAATCGCAAATGCCGCTGCCAAGATTGGTCCTTCTGTTGTTAATTTGTCAGTACCTCAAAGTCAGTTCGTCATTTTCCTTCTATAATTGTTATTCTTTTTTAAACTATCATCAGTTTTTTCCTGCTTTTTTCAATCTTTGGTCTATCCATAGTTAAGTTTTGATTTTCTTGTGAGTAGGTTTTCATGGTATGACCGTGGGTAAAAGTATTGGCTCCGGAACTATTATTGACAAGGATGGTACCATCTTGACTTGTGCCCATGTGGTAGTTGACTTTCAAGGATTAAGGACTTCATCTAAGGGAAAGGTCTGTTCTATGAGATCTCTTATATTCTTTGGTTCTAGTGCTCAAGCTGTTTCCTTTTTCTGTCGGGTACAGACACCAGAAGCTCCAAGTTTACAGGCATCTTCTTTTTTTTTTTTTTTGTTTAAATGGATCTTGCACTGTGATTCTGTGAACTGGTTCACAAATCTAGTTGCTATGTGCTGCTATAATGTTCTATGATAAGCTGTTAACTACATATCTTATCCTATCTGAAATAGCCACTTTCATTACACCTCTACACTGAACGCTTTAACAAATGGTGTGTTTGAATGTTAATTATCTGTAATTCATCGTTCCTATAAGATGTAGTTAAAGCTAGCTTGTTGGTTTTTAGTGGTGTCTGTTGTGTATTTTGCAATGATGCATGTCTGTGATAGTATGCCTACCTAAGTTGATTACTGTGGCAGGTTGAAGTGACTTTGCAAGATGGTCGGTCATTTGAGGGTACAGTGGTGAATGCCGATTTACATTCTGACATAGCAATAGTGAAGATCAAGTCTAAAACTCCACTTCCAGCCGCTAAACTTGGGAATTCGGGAAAGCTTCGCCCTGGGGACTGGGTGTTGGCTATGGGGTGTCCTCTTACCCTTCAGAATACGATTACAGCTGGTATTGTAAGGTAGTTCGGCTTTGCTGTCTGTTTCATGTGTGCAACCCTCGTTTTCTCATGCTAAACTGAAATATGTAGCTATGAATTAATCCAGAAAGTTTACGTATTTCCTATGATGCCTTCGTGTTGCATCTAGTTGTGTTGACCGTAAAAGTAGTGACTTGGGCCTTGGAGGCATGCACAGGGAGTACTTGCAGACTGATTGCGCTATAAATCAGGTGGTGTTCTCTTCTTTGCCTGCTTGTGGAAAACTTCATTTCTATGTGTTTTCATGTGTTATTTTTAAGTTTCCAATTCGCCTTGAGGTAATTTTTGAATTTCTCAGATAAACATTTGTGACGGTTGCTTTTTGCTTATCTTTTAGTTGCAGTTCTGCATTGGTGCCACTAATTTCTGACTGATTTTATTTATCTTTTAATCTTAGTGAGTGCAACATACATATATAATTAAGTGAGTGTAACATACATATTCCTGCCAGTGTATGTTCAAACAATAGATTAATAACATGAGATGGAAAAGTTTATTGAACATGTTGAACATTATATTGGATTTGATCGTTTACAGCCAAAACCTATTTTATTGTGCATTATTATGTATGATGTCTTTATAATGGATGTGCCATTCTTTTAGGGTAATTCAGGCGGACCTCTTGTCAATGTTGACGGAGAAGTTGTAGGAGTCAATATCATGAAAGTGTTGGGAGCTGATGGATTGAATTTTGCTGTCCCTATTGATTCTGTTTCAAAAATAGTCGAGCACTTCAAAAGGAACGGGTATGCTGTCTTGATATGTGTGAGTGTGTGTGTGTGTGAGAGAGCTATAGGCAGGTATGATGCAAATAGTTTATTCTATCATGCAGGAGAGTTGTCCGGCCTTGGCTTGGTTTAAAAATGCTCGATCTCAATGACATGATCATTGATCATCTCAAAGAGAAGAATGTTTCCTTTCCGGACGTCAGCAAAGGAGTTCTTATACCTGTGGTGAGATATTTAGTTAGAAAGATACATAATAATTATTCTTTCTTTCTAAGTTATTTGTGTTTGTTTTGATTTCTTTTTCTGGTTTCGGTAGTGTTTCGCAAGACATGCGATCTTTGCTTCCCCATTAAATTAACTTGCAAATGTGTTTTTAACAGTATGCTCAATATAAATTATAATGGTTGCTAATTTTGTGAAGCCATCATCTGATAATATAGTTATTATGGAAAGGTTATTGGTGGCATGAGATATATGTTGGAAATAGTGGTTGCGAATGTTGATATTCATGAAATCAATCAATATAATAGCCAATACAATAACATTACATCAAAAATTTGGTATTCAGTGGATGGAATTTCAATTTTCTTGCCCTTTGTCATCCACAATTGACTACATTTGGTAAGCGGAGTTTTCACTTTCTCCAGTCTTGTAATGTTCTATAATTTCTGCAATACTGATAATATGCACATCGTAGGATCATAATCGTTTAAAATTAATTGTTGGAGCTTGGAGTAATGCAAAACCGAAGGGTTGTTCTTGTTTATAAATTGGAGTATTGATAATCATTTACTCTTTCTTTATCTCCACAATTTCATGTTATTCTATATGCTTATGCATCTAAAGTAATTAATCATGTTTGCTGATCTGATTTATTTTTCGGAAGAGAAAGAAAGCTTGTTTCTTTGTACTCGAAACAAGCGAATCATGTGGACTTCATTGGTCTCATTATAAATTCGATCAGATGCATGATTATAGTATGCTTTCTATCTTATATGGTACTATCAATACTTTCATATGTGGCTTTGCTTTACTTTCTTCCTAGCCTGGAAGGACAAATCAAGAAATTAGATTGTAGATAATAATAAAGGTGATATATCATAAGTGAGCAAAAAACATTATAATGAAAAATCAAAGATATTCCTCAAATGATAGGTTATGCTAGTACTTAATGCATGCCTGTAAGGTTTTGCTGCTTGCAAAACGTGTAGTTTTTCTTTTTACAATCAATAGATAAAAACCAGAGTAAACACTCGAATCCTTTTTTTTACAGGTATCCCCAGGTTCGCCAGCCGATCGTGCTGGATTCCATCCTGGAGATGTTTTAGTTGAGTTTGGAGGAAAGCCTGTAGGAAGCATTAAAGAGGTAAATAACATACGAATATTTGTTGCGTAATTTGTAAATTCATATCCTTTTGTTGGTTGGATTGTTGTCTCTACGCTAAGCATATAAGTTAACTCATAACTTATTTGAGTAGTTTATAAGCTTCTTGTATTTAAATAAACTTTGTTTGGTTGGGCGAGTTTTTTTAAAAAAACTCGAGCTCATCTCATAAGCAGTTTCCTTGAGTAGTTTCAAATAAGTCAATTGAAATTTTTATTTCAGCTAATTTTACCAAACACTTTTATCATATAAGTCAGCTTTTCAACCATAAGTCATAAGCTGTCAGCTAAAAGCTCAAAATTCACTTAAAAGCTAATAAATTAGTTTATCATAGCCTACGTGTTTTAATCGCCCGATTACTAATTTACATTTTATGAATGCTTAATGTTCTCTTTCACTTGAACTTATTGTATCATCGAACGTAACTATTACTTCAGGTGATCGATGCTATGGGCGATAAAGTTGGGAAGCCTTTGAGAGCTGTTGTGAAACGAGCGAATAATGTTACCGAAATATTGAATGTAACTCCTGAAGAAGCCAATCCAGATATGTGACCTTTTGAGGGTTCTCAATCCTGATATTAGATATGTGACAGAAAATGTGTGAAGACTAAAACTTTTCAACTTGCTTACAACATACTTCGGTGATAGATATATGGACATGCATTGTTATATGTATTTGTAGTATCAGGGTAATTGATTTTCAATGATAATTTTTTGTGAAAATAATAAAAAGTATCATAATATATGTAAAATTATGAATGAAATTGTTGGAGATGATTTTCAGATTTTTCACTTTAATTAATATATCAAATATTTCAAATGAATGAATCAAAATAAGACAAATGGATAAAAGTTACTATTATAGGATGGATCGAATTTTCATTTTTTTACCAATCCACTCTTTACTTACTTAGATAAAAGTTGATCCTTTTTTAATTAGTTTTCCATATTTTCTTCAGAGTTTTTCTTGACAAGTCCTTTCATTCTCTCCCTCACTACTTAAACCAATCCCAAAAATCTCTCTAAAGAGCGTGGTACGGCATATACCCAAATACTCCCGAAACACGATTCACCGTGTCACTACACTTAGCCATTAAATTGAGAAGCTGTTGCGAAATGTCTCTACTCGGTGGAGGAGGTTTATCGAGAGACGACGTGTCGTTGGCCAGAGGCTCGCCACTAATCACATTCATCGGGATGAAATTTTCAAACTGATGATGATCAGCAGTAGTATAGTTCAGCAAAGGAGTAACAACGGTTCGCCAGTTTGGAAAAAATCACGACAAATACTTTTCACCAGAAGACGAAAAAGAAGAAGAAGAAGAAGAAGAAGCACTATCCATGGATGAATGTTAGTTATTGTTATGAGTAAGCTGTTCCTGAGCCTTGCCATTAGTAGTGCTATTACTCCCAAGAACAAACTTTACACTCGTACCTCTGCTATTCCCATTAATGCCGATTTTGCCCTCGTCAGTCGACACCAGCTTCTTCACGATATATTTGGGCTATATTGATTTCTCAGCTGCGGTTCCTCGTTGGCCTGCGTCTGTTGAGCTTGGGCTGCACTCTCCTTCTTGACCCTGACAGGTGGCTCAGGCTCGGCAGGCGGCTCAATCCCGACCTCCTTTAAGTGGCACCTCACGTTTGAGCTCCCGAACAAGTTTTTCACTTCCCAAGGCAAAATCGAGGGCATCTTCAGCATTTGCCCGCCGCCGGTAGACCAGTCGGCATGTGCAGGTCTTCCAGAAGACCCGAGTGGCATCGAGATCGAGCAGGCCGAAACGGGCGAATTTGGTTCTCAGCTGCAGGACCGACGGGAGGGGTGAACCGGCCGGGAACCTCATGACGAGCATGGTTGAATACGAGTTCGAGTTCGACTCACGTCCCCTCTTTCCCGACTCGACTTTCATCATGAAAATTTCTTGCAACAGTCTCCTTCGTGTGGGATGAGGCAAATTTAGAGTCTATCTGTTATTAACTTATTATTCTTCTCTTCTTGATCGTCATTTCAACTAGATCCAATCCACTTTTTACTTACTTAGCTTTCAAATGAATAAATCAAAATAAGATAATTGAACTAAAGCTACTAAGGGATAGACCGAGGTTTCATTTTTTAACGTCACATCAACTACATCCAATCCAAATTTACTTTGGAGAACATTTTTTCAAAATTGAATCTATGGTTACTTCGTTATATTTTTTTTTTTTTTTTT